TCCATGCCTCAGGTCACTTCAACTTTGGGCAGCAGTCAAAGATCTAAAGGCCCCTGAGACAGATTGCAGTCTGTTGGACAGAAAGAGTCAGAGAAGCATATTTATACCAGATTTTACATTATTCTGCAATATTTTTTTAGTTCTCTCAACGGCTTTGGCATTCTAAATATCAGAAAATACCATTTCATTGCAAAACTGTATAAGGGGCTAATGCAACCTGCATCCCAAACAGAACGCTGATTTGTAACAAAATACAACTTAAAAAGACAAGTTAGCCAACAGACTGCTGCCAGGCGTTTAACCCTTTCTGTACCATACATTGATCATTGTCATCATAAAGCACATAGGGACAAAGACAAAATTACATTTGTAAAGTGCCTTTCACATCGGGAGGACGTCGCAAGGCGCTGGGACACAGACACAATGGGCAGAATGGCCCCATTCTGTGCAGAGAATGGATTTAATTTAGTGTTTGATAGATTTCTTAAAGATGATAATAATAATAATAAGATAAGAACAATCCTTGCATTTGATAAAGGGACAAAAGGTAAATACAAACTCATCCATAGGTCCGCCAGTAAACTCTGCATAGCAATGCTGATTAAGCTCAGAGCCAGAACAGGGTTAGGTTTACCAAAAGTAGGGTATTACAGTGCCATTGGTAACTGGCCTTAGAAATTACTATACAGGTCAATTTGAATTGCTTTGATTTGACCAATGTACCTAGTTGGTAGCTATATTAATAATCAGGTAATGCCTGCATTTGTTCTAGTGCCTTAGCCTGTTATTGAGACATCTCAAAAGTTTCACAGTATAGTAACTGTATATTTGTTGGTGAATGCGGCAACCAATTTGCACACAGAAATGTCCCACAAACAGTGATGAAGTGAATGATCAATTTTATCAAGATGGTTGGCCAGGACTCCGGGAGAAACGCTTTTCTCTGTTTGAATAGTGTTGTACGATCTTTAACATCCACCTAAACAGGCAGAAGGAACTTCAGTTTAATGTCTTATCCAAAGGACAGTAATTCTGACAACACAACACCCCCAACACTGTACTGGATTGTCAGCCTAGATTATGAACTCAGAATCCTGACAGGAGGCTTCAACCCACAACCTTCTGATTCAGAGGCAAGAATGCTGCCAACTCAGACAAGTTGACACCAATGAGCTATGAGCAAAACTATAAATTAAGATTTGATTTGTCTTTTAAAAACAAAACCACATAATTCTGTTCTTAACTGGCTCCTTTATTAAGTATCCTGCCATTCGATGTAATAGATTTTGTTTAGCTAGAGGTCGCCCCTCCGAATTGTAAGCCAAAACATTAACTCCTTTCACTCATGTGAGTAATGTCTGGCCTCAAAGTAGATCTACATCTCTGTCCAATTGCATTTAATGCATAAATTAGTCAGAATACTGTTATTTTTCCAAACAGCATGAACTCTGAATAGAGATCCTTGAGGAGATTTGTGTTATTGTTCGCCTGCTGGACCTAAATCAGGTCAATAGTATAGTCCTGTATTGCTGGTATGTTAGGATCAATGCCATACTGGCTAGCCTTCAGTTGCATACAGCTGTCCATTGGTATTAATAATAAGAATCCTTGCATCTGATATAGCATCTTATCATGTCATCAAGATGTCTCAAAGCGCTTCACAGCATATACTGTGTCTTTGCCATAACAGTGCTGAGCACAGAAAAGAGAGCTCACTGCTTCTAGTCATTGTTAAACTGAATTAGCAAGGAATTCCAATGAATCAAATATTTTTAAAAGTTAGTTTACCACAAAGAGAACTTACTCCATTCCTTGGCTACTCTAGTGGCTCAGCGAGTTTTTACTGTGAGTCGCTGATCCATGCAACATGGGAAGGTTCCAGATTTGATCTCCAGGTTGTTCTCTTCTCTGGTCTCAGTAAGGGTGAAATCTGGTCTCAGGGTACAAAATCAAGGAGGGGGAAATCAACCAGAGTTCCTGATCCTAGATCACAATCCAGCCACTTTGAGTTGAGGTACAACTGAATGCCCATTGAGTGGAGATCAGATCAGGCTCAGAGTGATATCACCTTCAGGTGAATCGTATGACAACACTCATTATATTGAAAGTCATACACAAGCAAAGATCACTGGGGCAAGGTGCTAGAAGTCAACAGTTACCCATGGAATTGCACCCAGTAATAAAACAAAATTAGCTCTTCGGAAGTAGAGATGGGGGGAAAAGATTAGTGTTGAAAGAAAATAAATAGAGGGCAAAATACGACGTGATAAGATGACTGATTATATTGCATTTGATCAAGTCATCCAGATGTCTCAAAACACTTTACAGGATTTACTGCAACGTGCAGAGACTGTGTATTATGTAGACAAACACAACAGCCAATCTGCACACAGCAAATAGTCATGACGTTGGTAATGCTAATAATATGACTTGGCCAAAGCAATTGGAGAAAGCCTCTCCTCTTTTTGAGTTGTGCCATGGGATCTTTAACATCCAGTTTAACAGGCAGACTGGACCTTGGTTTAACATCTCATCGAAAGGACAGCACCTCTGACAGTGCAGCATTCTCCATCACAGGATTGGCGTGTCAGCCTGGACTGTGAGTTCAAAGTCCTGATGCGGGGTTTGAACCCACAATCTTCTGAGTCAGAGACAAGAGTGCTACCAACTGAGCCAGGCTGTTGGTCATGCTAATAATATAACTTGTTGCATTTTTGTCGTATAAATTCCTTTTTGAATGCATTTCAATAGAAATGAATATGAAATATTTGATGAATAAAGCACCCCACCCATAGACGTTCAGTTACATTGTGATGAGGCTGCTGGACCTTGTCTTGTTATTGACATTTTCATGTTCCAGTTTATGTCATATTACATGAGTTTCATTACAGCAAACATCTCAATATAACCCAACTCAGTGCTGGTCTCCCAAGGACTGTGTTCTAATTAGAGTGGAGTGTATTAAATGAAAACAAATCTCCTTCCCAAGGGGAAGTATGTTGAGAGGATTCAAAAGACATTGCTGTAAACATTTACACAGATATCTGGTTTCAATGAGCCTTTAGATTATTGATAGTTCTTGTAACCAAGATTATTCAGTGCTAATTTTCTTTCTACAGCTGCTTTCATTTTTCAACATTACCTAAATCTTGAATTAACCTATAATTCTCATTCTTCTAAATGTATTATTTATTTACTATATTACCACAAGTAATGACTTTCAGCACAAAATATCAGATGATTTTCCAGTAATAATGTTTCAGTATTTGGGGGCAAATAGTAATCATTTGTTGCTAACCTAGCACAATTCTAAAATGCAATACATTCTCCTTATAATAACAACAAATTGCATTTGTATAGAGCCGTTCACATTGGGAGGACGTCCCAAGGTGCTGGAAAGTCAGGGATTTGGACACGAGCAGAGCGTTGAGATCAGGATGGGTAGGGGGCAGGGAGGGTAGTGGTAGGAGGGTGATCGAAGGCAGGGTCGAAGAGGAAATACAAAATACAATCAAATCTATTATTCATTATACCATTTGTTAACAAACAACTGAGCAGGTAGATGTTACCTTGAGTTCACATATTGTCCAAAGGACAGCAACTCCAACAATGCAGCGAGTTACTGGGGAAGGTACTGCAATGTCAGCCGAGACTATGATCCATAAATCCCCAAATGTGCCTTAAAGGAACAAGCGTGCTGCTAACTGAGCCTTGCTGATGTTGCCAAACACAGCTAATAAGCCTTGCATTTACTGTAGCACAGTATCACATCGAAACATTTTAGGACGTTTTCTGCAAAGCGTAGCATCTGTTTTTGTAGGCAAACGCATCACCCAATTTGCGTACGGCAATATTCAACAAACAATTGGGAAGTCGATGACCAATCTTCTTTTAAATCTGGAGAATTGTTGGCCAAGGCCTCGGGCTGAAAGTTCAACCTACAACTTTCTGACTCAGAGGCAGGATTGTTCGACAATCGAGCTGTCCTGACACATGGACTGAACGCTGTAAGTGAACATATATTTGTATTGTATACATGCAAATAAGGTGCCATATTTCACAAGCAGGGATTTTAAATTTGCTCAATCACAATGATAAACGCTTATGCCACAATGGAATAGCTCTGTTATCTGTAAAAGATTCCTATCATTTAAGTTCCAAATGGCTACACAAGCCCACCTCACATTTGATTGTACTGTCTATTCCCCATGAAAAACTTTCTCGACAGTGAAATGGTAGTTGCCAATTTCCAGTTACAAGGTGTTTAGATGACCGTTAAAAAACAATGGCAAGTCATGGATCAATTCTAATGTTGACATGCTTGAATTCCTTCTTATTGTGTTCCGTAAATATTTCTGCAGACCCTTTATGCAGTTTGACAAGAGTGCTACAGTCCTAAACTAAGGTCTTATATGTCAGTTCAAGTGGACATTAAAGATCTGCACTATTCTTTAGGGTACTTTCAAAAAAAGAAGGGAGTTTTTCCGAGTATCCTAGCTAAGATCCCCAAAATAAAATTCACTTCATGGCTCAATCCACGACTGTTTGTGGGATACTGCTGTGCACAATTGGCTGCCATGTTCCACCCAGAAATACACAGTCAATCCACTTTACTAGATATTATATAATATAAAATAAAAACAGAATTCGCTGATCATGTCAGGCATCTATGGAGGAGGAAAATTAGTTAACATTTCAGAAAGATGACCCTTTGTCAGAACTTTTTTATAGTATAGTCTGTGAAGTACTTTGAGATGCCTCAACGACATGATAAGGTGCTATGTCACATACAAGGATTATTATTATAAATACTTCAGAAGTAAAGGTATTAAGGTGTATGGCAAAATTGCGAGGAAATGCAATTAAAAGATCTGTCATTATCTAACAAACTGGCAAAGCACGTCAAGTGCGCTAAAGCGACTCTTTTCTCAAGATTGGATGACACCAAATCTCATACCCTACAAACATCTGATAAATGATTCTCTCATCCCTCATTTTAGGTTGTCCTGTTAAAGGTCATCCAACACCCAGCATCAGATGGTTGTTCAATGGTAAAGCCTTAAACAGGGTATCAGGACTGAATCATCAGATTATGGCTTCACACCAAGTCCTTCGTATTGCGAGCATCAGTAAAGGTCTTCAAGGAGATTACAGCTGTACAGCTCAGAATGAAGCTGGCTCCCTCACACAGAGGATCACACTGGAGATAGCAGGTAATATTTCTTTATACTCAAGGATAATCCTGGGTATAGAGAAAATGTAATTAGAAACAGTTAATCCCAAATTGTTCTATTAACTTGTCTGTCATATTTGTAATTAATTGCAGTGGCCTTCAAATTGATTAGCACTGGGATAATCCTAGAATTATCCTAACAACAGCAACAACACAAACCTTGCATTTATATAGCATCCATCATGCAATTAATGTCACAAGGTGTTTACCAGAAGTGTAGCTTGACGCCGAAAGGAAAGGGACATGACCAAAGGCACAGTCAAAGAGGAAAGTCTTCAGGTGTGATTTCAAGATGGGCAGAGAGAGGGCAAGATGAAGGAATTGAGGCAAGGAGTTCTAGAGATTGGGGCATAGTGTCTGAAAGCGTGGCCGCCAATTGTAGAGTGGAGGGAATGAGGGACGTCCAGCTGAGCAAAGGCAGTAGGTTGTGGAGTGGGATGTGAGAAGATCAGAGAGGTAGGGAGGTACCAAGGCATGAAGAAATCTGAAAGTGAGAATGAGGATCTTGAAATCGATCCATTCTGCAATAGGGAGCCAGTTGAGCCTGGCAAGTGCTGGGTGGTTGAGGGTGTGGAACCTGGTATAGGTGAGGACATGGGCAATAGTTTTGAATCATTTGAACCTAGTTTCTAGTGGAGCTGGGGGACTGGCGAGGTATGCATTAGAAAAATCGAGACAGGAAGTAACAAAACCATGAATGAGAACTTCAGCAGCGTTTGAAGTAAGATATGGGTGAAGGCGGGTGAAGTAGCAGAGGTGGTCAGGGAGCGGAAGTGGGTAGGAAGCGTATCTTGGGATCAAACCCGATGCCAAAGTTTCATAGAGATTTGGTGAGTCTGCGGGATAGGCAGAGAAGATTAAGGAGTTCGGAACTGCAGGTGAGACGATGTTGAAGGGAGGCAAGGAGGATGCCTTCTGTTTTGTTAATATTCAGCTGCAGAAAGTTTGCCCTTTTCCTGGCCTTGATGGCAGACAAGCAGGCAGTCAGAACATCAGTAGGAATGGGGTCATGACTACAGGAGGAAGAATAGATTTGGGTATCATCTGCATACATGTGGAAGTTGACCCCATGTTTGCGGATGTTGTCATCAAGAGGGAGCATGTAAATGAGAAACAGGAGAGGGCCGAAAATAGTGATTAGAGCCTTGCGTTACACCACAGGTGATCTTGTGAGAGCAGAAGGAGAAACCATTAGAGATTAAATTGTGGTGGTGTGTCACCTCAGACTTGAACTAAGAGAGAGCATTCCCACTGAGATGGATGAGGGAGGATAGGTGATCGAGGAGGATGGCAAGGTCCACTGTGTCAAAAGCAGCAGAGAGGTCCAGGAGACAAAGGGAGCCCTGATCACAGAGAAGAGAGAGAGAGAGAGAGAGAGAGGACATAATTTGTAACCTTACTGAGGCTGTCTCTGTGCTTGGAGCAGAGTGGAGGGACTCAAAAAGGGAATGGGAGGAAACGTGTGAGTGACATTGGGTGAATTTAGAATTTAGGCAGGTTTGAAATGGGCCGGAAGTTCCATCCTAATTCCTACATAATCCTCCTAGATAATTGTATAGCATTGACAGAACAGAAACAGGCTATTAGATACACAGAAATTTTCCCCTTTCCTTCAGTTGGGGTGAAACCTAATTGAAAGGCCCTGCCATGCATGCATGTTAGCCCAGAGGCGAAGCATCATCACGACCTCATTAGCTCATGGCAAGTAGCTACTGATTATCTCTCCGCAGGAAAGCCATGGCTTCACTCTCAATGAATGAAGGGCACTCACTGTGAAACTTGTTTTTACTGTGTGGAGAAAGTGAGGAAGGACAAGCTTCTGCCAGGAGGTAGATAGAGGCTGAGTAGTGATTCATGTTTTACTCTATCAAGAGAGCTCTTCAAAATAATTATTATTGTAACTATAAGTGATCACATCTCAAACGCAGTTCCTACTTATACTTGGGATGCGCTCACTTACAATAATAAAACCTGATACCATTTCCTTCTGTTCAGTGGCACTGATCATATATATATATATATACCTATACCCTACTTTACCCATCACTAATAAAGCCCTCAGCTGATAATAGTCACCAACTTCTAATGTTAAATCCTAACTCTAATTTCAGTGGAAAGACGACCATAGGGTAATTCTTAGCAGGACCCATTTAGAGGCCACCAAGCTTGTCAGAACTGGTGATGATCCCGGAACTGGGAGCATCTGAACTGAAATCTAATTCATACTTCCCAAGACAATCAAAGCGACAAAAGAATTTGGAGTTGGTGTAATCACTTTCCTACACCACTGCATTCTCTAGCTCTTTGTTTTATTTTTCTGGCAAGCTTCCTGCTACTTATCCACGGCGTACCTTCTTACCCATTAAGGTTTAACAGACCAAGTGAGAACAGCCCTTCCAACTTCCTCCAACCATACCCATCGCCTCCCCTCCCTTCCTGGGACTGGTCTGCCCTTCCATGTTCTGTTGATGAGCCAGACTCCCTGATCTGTCTGTCATCACACAAATAGGCAAGAAATGAATGAACAATTTTATTTGGGGGATTGTTGGCCAGGACAATGGGAGAAGCTCCATTCCCTTTTCACACATGCTGTGGGATCTTCAACACCCACCTGAACAGGTAGACAGGACCTTGGATTAACATGCCAATGAAAGGACGATACCTTTGGGATGCCAGCTCAAGTCATGAGCTCAATGTCCCACAAGCTTTTGACTGAGAGGCAGGAGTGCTACCAGCTGAGGCTGACTGGCAGATGCCATTTACTGAACTGATTTTCAGTCCAATGAGTGGATACATCATCCATTGAATTTAAAGGGAATCGAGAAAAGGATCCATCCCACCCTGACAACTGAGAATGTCCATTTCTGCTTGAAAAGTGAGTATCTTTGAGTGTTATATTTTTTAGAAGATTTCAATTTATAATTTATAATTAGAATACAAGTGGCTGCTTGGTGGGATGATGCCCTGCTCTGCCCCATGTGGAAACAAAGGGATGCAGTTGACAAAACTGAAGTGTCTTCAAGACAACAACATCGAGGTTGAAAGGTCTTACTGCAAAGAGAAGCCGAAACCACTCATCCATTCTGTGCCATGTAATGTAAAAGACTGTCCCCCAAGGTAAGCAATGTAGAAGAGCACACAGCAGAATCCCATTATAATGGCAGTAGTTTGAATTAGATCAAGATGTCCGCAGGTCAGCGCTTTGCAACACCAATGAATACACAACTTCAGAATAAGTTGTCATGCTTTAAAACGTGTCATCACACTCTAAAACATGTTAGCATGCTTTAAAATATGTCATTATGCTTCAAAAGACATCATCTTGCTTTCAAACGTGTCATTACACTTCAAAACACATCAACATGCTTTAAAATGCGGTTTTAGATTTCAAAACACATCATGCTTTAAAATTGTCATAAAATAGGTGCTGTGCTTTATTTATGCTTCGTGCTGAGAAGATATCAGGATTGATGCTTATGATTTTTGTGTCCTCCAGAATACTTAGCAGTCATATTAGAGCAATTGATACAATCAGACAGAAAAGCAATGTGAGGGGAAATTGAGAAGGAGTCACAGATTTAAGAGGAGGTGCACTAACACTCAAGTAAGGTTGGTGAGGACTGTTTGATTTTAATGTCTTTCTCTAGGTGGATTACAACCACCTGGTCCCCCTGCACTGAGAGCTGCGGGGGAGGATCTCAGAGCCGTCAAATCAGTTGTCAGAGGGTGACCGCAGCCGGGATACTTGTTGATCTGTCAGACGACTTCTGTGCTAATTTGGGAAGGAAGCCGATGGACATTCAAACCTGCAACAAGCAACACTGCTCAGAATGGCTTGTCTCAAAATGGGGGCAGGTCTGTACCAATAGTGATGCAACATTTGTCTCTCCCACAAAACACGCAGTCAATCCACTTTACAATATATCCTGTGAAACGGTTTGAGACATCTCAAAGACATAAGGTCCTTCCTCAATCCCTTTGCCTCGTTCTCTCCCTTCCTATTTTCAGGTCTCTGCTGAAGACTTTTTCAACTGCGCCTTTGGTCACCTTCCTCCCCCTCCCCCGATTTCAAGATCCTCACCCTTGTATTCAGGTCCCTGCACTTCTCTGCACCCTCCTACCTCTCTGACCTCCTCTCTCCTCAGCATAGTACCTGTTGCCTTCGTTCCTCCAGGTCTGGCCTCCTCCTCGTCCCCGATTCCTCCGTTCCATCCTCGGCGGCCGTGCCTTCAGCCTCTATGTTCCGAGGCTCTGGAACTCCCTTCATCATTTCCTTCACCTCGCTCCCTCCTTCCTATTTTCAAGTCTCTGCTGAAGACCTTTCTTTTCGATCAGGTCTTTGGTCACCTTCCTCCCCCTCCCTCTGGCTTGATCCCGGGATCTGTTGTGTGAAGCACTCTGAGATGCCATCCGGCGTGGAGGGTGCTTTATAAGTCCCAGTTGTTGTTATATCAAATACCAGGATTATTATTGTTATTTGATATCTAAACCATTTGATATCTAAAATATCTAATTCTGTGAATTAATTTGAATTCAGATCCGATCCAGAAATAATGGATGGTGGGGGGAGTGACGTGGTTGTGGTAATTACCACCCAGTGATCATGAACTGAATTTGTCCTGTTACCCTCCATTCCTTCCCCAAATATTCTAACAGACCAAATTATTTAATCAGTGCTGTATTGAAGTGCTGATCATTTAACTGAGTTCACAGGTTTAGTATAATCAAGAATGGCTTGATTATAATCAAACTAGTGTTACATCTATGTATCTCTATAAAAGTTCAGGAGGGGAGAGAATCAAGTGCTTTTTCTTTGGTTACATTATATACTTTTGTTAACGTCTGTTTGTCCTAATGAAATTCAGGGATACCAATGCTACCGAATGGAATAATACAGCATTGGGAAGTGAAGTAGAACACAAATGGATGTAGAAAAGAAAAACTCCCTCTTCTTCACAACGAATGCCCTGGGGACTTGGGAAACAGAGTATTTGTTATATTGGGTGTTCGCTATAAACATTTAAATACTGAAATGGCTGTATGTTAAATATTGCTGTATATTGTTTAATTTAACACAAATAAGCTGAAAGAAAAAAAATTCAGTCACTACACTTTACAGTAAATCCTGTCCTGTGAAGTGCTTTGGGACATCCTTGCTCTATGAAAGGAGCTACACCAGGTGGAAATATTATTATTAGGATTATATAAGATTGAAATGCATTGAATACTAGAATTATGACAGGATGGAATACAAATATTTTAGTTAGTATTTAGATTCTGCCAAAGGGTTAATTACCTCAGTTGCATGGCTCCCGAGCCCGGAGCTACCAAGCTGTTTGCAAATGATCCTGCCCAAAATAATAATGATAATACTAGCATTTAATATAGTATCTTATCATGTTGATGAGAAGTCTCAAAGCGCTTCACAGAATATGAAAGGTAAATGAAAGAATATGTAAAGTGGATTGACTCTGTATTTTGTGGGCGAAATTTCACCTAGTCTTAACCTGTGCACAGCAGTGTCCTACAAACAGCCGTGGATTGAGTGACCAAATTATTATGATTTTTTTAAAGGGATTATTACCTCTGAAAAGTGATCCCCAATCGACTAACAACTGGATTACTACTAACTGCTAGGTAAACAGACAAGGAAACTAGGAAAGCTGGGTCATGATCAGACACCTGGCTGGTGGTTTTCCCCCTTTTCTAATCTGGGGGATGCTCAAGCCATTGGTGATGTCCTTATTGCCTCCACAGCTATGAAATTGAAATTCAGGGATTGCAGTGCTGCAGAGCAGAATAGTACAGTGTTGGGGAAGTGGAGTAGAATTCCCCCATGATCATCAAACTGGGCTCAGAGGAAAAACAGAACCTGAGAATAGAATCTTATTACTCAGCTGCTCACAGGATAAACTCAGTATGAATCTGCAAGACATACACACGTTCATTCTCAAAGGACACCACCTTCTGGAAATCATTTTTATAAAACCTATTTTGATTTGGGGAGGGAGGAAAAGTCCCGGTTGCCTTCATTTGTGGCAGACTGATGCATTTCAGCTTAGTAGTGCAGGTATTTCATAAAGAAATTAAGAATAAAAGTGTCCCTTTAACATTTGCAGTGTGGGGGGGGTATGTGTGTGTCTGTCTGTGTGTGTTGTGGTTCCCCTTCACTCTCTGCCCCTCCTCCCCATAACTCATACTTAGCCACACACTCAGTTCCCCAGTGTGGCTAAGAGGTAAATGAAATATGATGTATAATAATATAATATAATAATACAAAAATAATATGAGTGTGCCAGAGTGTTTCCTATCAGCAGAATTTAAAACTAAAGCTCCAGGAACATGAAGCAAGTGAAGCAAACACTACCAATTTACTTCATTGCCTTAAACAAGAAAATGTGAATGGTTACTTTTGCTTGTATAACTTTGTGATTCTTACAGTTTATAAAAGGAATTGCTTTGACTGTTTGTGCACTGAAGGTAATGTGTGGAAATTTATGGGACTCCTGGGAATCGGGTGAAATTAGATTTTAATACTGAGCAGGTTGACTGTTCAGCAACATTATTAATACAAAACAGCAAGAGCAGTAAAGACACCTCCCTCCCCTGCCTATAGCTGGTCTCTAAATGAAACCAGGCAAAACATTTGACCTTGCAATTGCAGTTGACTGATCAAAATAGGCTCTCTCAATGATATCATGTCAGCCAAAACATTGAAGATTCCCAAACCATGTCCCTTCTGTAGCTCTGCTTTGATGAAACATCACCCTTTTTGATTCCTAAGATGTGTCCTCCAAATGTGTAACTTATGCGTCAAATTCCGCTGCGGAAGCAAGTGGCATAGATCCAATCTGAACTATATGACACTACATTGTTCCAGGACTGAAGGTGGAGGTTCTTAACTCTCAGGCACTATAAACGTTCAGGTTTCAGTGGTTTAAAGGGACAATGAGCAGTACCGCAGTCAGTGTGCTACAATTCGCATAGGCCAAATTTTCACTGTTGATTTACTCACATGCAATAAGTGGAATTATCTGGTGTGGCTCTGGACACAGCACAGGAGTCAGTGAGGAAGTGAAAAATATGTGAATATGTACAGAACATACAATATTGGGTAACAGCCCAGAGTTAATACGGTCATTCACACATGTACAGAGCACACACACAGACACACATGCACAAGACCAGACTTAATAGTTAAAAGATCCATCTGGCTTTAGCTGAAAGGTGAGCGAAGAGGGTGTTTCTCATTTGGCTAGTTTCTATCTCTCTGTCTCAGGCTGATGTGCCTCTGTTTAAATCACCTTCATGACCATTAAGAAAATGACTAGGATGTTAGGGGGTGGAGGGGGAAGGTAAATATCCCTTAAAAAATAATAATGTGGTCACTCAATCCATGTGTTTGTGGGACACTGCTGTGTGCAATTGGCTGCTGCGTTTCGCCCACAAAATATAGTTAATTCACTTTACGGTATATTCTATTCTTTCTTCCGCAAACAGCCATTAAATGAATGACCAATTTTATTTGGGGGATTGTTAGCCAGGACACTGGGAGAAAATCCCTATATCAAATGCAAGAAATTTTCGCTGGTCTGGTGAGATCAGAAATGGAAAATATGGGCAAAACTAGGATTGATGAGATCCCAAGATCAAGACATACCTCTTTGATCACACTTTCAGTCATCTTTCCCCTCCCCTCTTCGGCTCCACCCCCAGCTTGGTTACCCAACCAGTAGTATGTCCTCCTGATGTAAAAAGTTCTATGTAAATGTAAATGATATTCTACATTTTTGTTTGGCTAACTTTGCTCTCGCCAGCAAAGATAGGATTGATGGGAATACAAATGAACTAAGCTGCAGCACCCTGTTTTGCTTTTGGCAGTGCAATGGCCAATGTGTGGGACTCAGGCTGGGAACACAACACCGTAATATCCTCTGCCAGGCGCACAATGGGACCAAGTTACCGTTTGACCAATGCAGCAGGAACACAAGGTATTGTCCTTCAATGCAATGTTGTACTCGTGTAAGCTCTTTGTACTGATCCCTTGTTAGTCACCATGGGAAATAGAAGAGTATGAAGGTATGTAAGTGATGCCCTGGCACCTCCCTAACTCTCTGACATGTTTATTCCCCAATCCACTACCTGCTGCCTCTGCTCGACTGGCTCTGGCGACAGCACTTTCAGCCACTGCAATCTGAAACTATGGAACATTCTTCCTCTATCCCTCCGGCTTGTCCCCTCCTTCCCCATCTTCTGGTTGCATCTGAAGACCTTCCTATTCGACTGTGTTTACGATCCCCATCCCCCCACCCGCACCCCTGGCTCGGCATTGTGCTCCACCACTATCAAATGCTCTGGGACGCTATATAAATGCAAGTTGTTGTTGCATGTACATTCTTTGAAATTCTTTGTGAAACTTACAGCCCTCTTTGGAAGAACTATATCTGTGTTAATTCTCTAAACTCTGTTTTCATGCATCACAAGTAATTGGTTTGCTATCGGAAAATCTTTTTACTCTTAAATGTTAACTTGACTTAATTAAATGTGTTGGGTAATCCTATAGTTAGCACTGGGTATATGTTTTGGTCAGCTGGGTGTCTCGCACTTGTGGAAACCCATCACCATGCTTAAGCGTTCCACATATGCATGGAAATTTCCATGTTTGGAATGGAATGCACAATGTCCCCCTAGAGGGATGCACCAAGCTCACCTAATCTCGGAAAGTATTAGGCAGAAGTTGGTAAGAGCCAAGATTTGATGGCCCTAGAGCATTTGTTAGGGGCATTATTGCGTATCAAGAATCAAAATTGACACAGCTTGTAAAACCACATATCCAAACAATGGTTGTTGACTATATATTTTTATGACATGCATTCCTTAGGCCAGTCAGTCTTCGGAATTGTACCACAGATGTTTGCATCGTCCATTGGGAAAGTAATTCCTGGACCCCATGTACATCTTCCTGTGGGAATTATGGTTTCCAGTCCAGGCGAGTAGAATGTGTACATCTGGGCAGCAACAGGGTGGTGAGGGAACAGTTCTGCTTATGGAAACAGCGACCAGCCAACTGGCAGCGGTGCAACATTATTCCATGTGAAAAATGTGAGTATTGTACCATCTTAGTGAATAACACATGTGTTTCTCAGAGACAAATTACAATTAGAAATAGTTTATGTTGATTAAAATATTATAAACCTGAAAACTGTGGATATTTTTTTATTTAGAAACCTAATGCCCATGGGCCCATAATCATCTCAGTGACCTGAATAATTGGGACCATTTTGAATCGTGCTGTGAAGGTTAGGGGGGAATTTAATGGAGGTTTTAAAGTGGGTATGGTAAACGGGTGGGGCATTGGGATTAAAAGATCTGCCAAGAATTGGTGGAGCAGTCTTAAGAACACAAGAACAGGAATAGGTAATTCAGCCCCTCAAGCCTATTCTGCCATTCTATTAGACCATGGCTGATCTGTACCTCAATTCCAAATGCCTGCCTTTGCCCCATGTCCCTTGATATCCTGACATAGCAAAAATGTATCCACCTCAGTCTTAATAGTCTTCTCCTGTTCCTGTTATCTTATGTTCTTACAATGCAAGACACCAGACAATCTGAAACGAGTAGGCGATATTGTGAGGTGAATCCATATTTAATGGAAAAGTTATGACATAGTTTGACTCCGACAATACCGTGATTCAAGAATTTACAATGATGTGGAGTGACTTGAAAATCTGGGACTTTTTTTTGCTGGAGTTGTGAAGGTTAAGGGGAATCTAACACAGGTTTTCAAAATTATTAATACTTTTGCTAGAGTCTATAAGGAGAAACTATTTCCACTTGATCGGTGAGTTCAATAATAAAAGGGTATAAATTGCGGATGGTCAATAGATAAAAAGAGAGGTTAGTAGAATAATAAATGTCTTACCACAAATAATTGTTGAAGTTAAGACCGTGATACTATTTAAAAGGTAACTGGATACATACGTGTGGCCTGCAGCACCAAGTTGACCTGTCCTCACTTGGCTGCAATACTTTGCATTATAACAGTAGAAGGTGCTGTAGAGGGACCAGGGGCAGGCTTTCCTTGCTGGTTTTCCCCTATCCAACCTTGGCCGCCCTATGAGGCATGGTCTGAGTCCAGTGAACAGATTATTATTATTATTATTATTAATACTTGACAGAATTCACAAACAATTGCTTTTTAATGAATACCGGCAACAAGCGGTGCTGAAGTACTGCAAACCTTTCTGTTATGTTGTCTTAATTCAGTGCAAGACCCTTCCCGAATTGCCTGGTAGACTAGGTAGATACAGACTTCAGAAATGTGTGCCATTACCAGTTTATTTTTTCTGTCCCACACCTTATCCTACAGCGGAATGCAGAGACACCACAAGATACTGTGAAATGGTGAAGCGGCTGAAACTGTGCCACCTCTCGCAATACAAGCTACGCTGCTGTGAATCCTGCAGAGACCTCTGAAGAAGAGAGCAGCAAGTCAGCAGGGAATGATTTTCCGAGGGGAAAAATGACTAAAGGATTTTGAAATTTCGGAAAAATAAAACACTAAAGGATTCATTTGTATGACGGTTGGGAGAGAAAATAAAATTGTGTGTAGGGATAAAAAACCGGCACCTTCCGACTTTGATGCAGTAAAACTATTACAATAATAACTTTAGATTGTGTTACCTTTGTGCTTCAGATGAAGGTTTCAGCCATTCTAATATGTGCATTTTGTGGCACAGACAGGACAAGGATTGTAAAAGACCTGGAAGGATGGTCCATGTTCTAGAATTAATTAACTGTTCGCCTTCATGTATCAGAAGCCACCATATGTGTATAATGTACGTATAACATATGCATAGGGAGCTGGTTCCACTTTGGCTGCTTCGTGGGGATTTCTGCTCAGACCTTTGTGCAATGTAGTGAAGACTAACAGTACGATGAACAAAGTGGTGCATTGCTCGGGGCTTGAAATGGAAGCCAGAATCAATGGACTTAAACATGATAAGGAGCTTTGGATGTACAGCCTGTGTTTGACAGAAAGGAATTGCATTGCTATTGAGGGAGGGAAGGGCAGTCTGCTACAAATTGCTTTGTTCTACACCTATCATAGACCTGAATCATTTAGTCGTACAACTAAGTGTCTTCGGCTTTTGATATGTAAGGGTTAATTTCTGAATGAAAACACTATTGTCCCTTAAAAATAAATCCCCTCCACATCTTTCCTGTGAAAGGTACATTGAAGAGCAAGTTGACAATAATCCATTTTGGGATCAGCGAAAAGTTGAGCAAGTAAGCATAGTTCAGCCTGAAAACGAATGGGATAATTTTATGATCCCAGAGGAAATGTCTTCTGTCCAAATGTATCGTATCTTGGAAAATATAGCCCATCATCCTGCATTCTTCAGATGGTTTAGCAAAAAACAGTTGGATGCCTTACCATTATCTTGTGACTTATCATTCATTATACATGACTTGTACCAGAATTAGCTTCAGTGGTGGGCACTGCCTATACTTACCCCTTGCATATGTTTAAAAACAACCCTTTATAACTTGTGATCTTTCTCTCCTTATTTGAGATGCTATTTTGTTTTATAGATTTCATGCCAGATTATGAATGATAATGTACCCGAGCACCCATGACAGCCCATTATTTAGTCTCCAACAAGTTCTGTACTGTTGTACTTATTTTTTTGAAAATTTCTCAGCTTCCCAATAAGTTTTTAGCCATTGCTGCATTCTGCTCCACAACCAAGGGGGTGGGGGGAAAGGTGGATGAAGTGGCTTTCTAGCCTCTCCCAATGCTATTTGGGAGGTTTGTGATCAATGCTCTGGGTTAATTTGCCCCTCCATTGAGCACCATGTTCTTTAGATGATATAGTTGATCACAGTCACACCACTTTACAGTATATCCTGTGAAGCACTTTGAGTTGTCTCAATGACATGATAAAGCATTACAGTAAATCAAATGTAAGGATTATCATAACAACAAATTACATCTTTCACGTCAGCAGGACGTCCCAAGGCATTGGACAGTCAGAAGTTTGGACCTGAGCAGGGGGTTGGAATCAGTAGGGGTGGAGGGCAGGGGTAGGAGGGTGCCCGAATGTGCGGTCGGAGAGGAGGATCTTGAAGGAGGCAAGGGAGGGAGCGAGGCAAAAGGACTGAGGGATGGAGTTCCAGAGGGTGGGGGCAGAGTGACTGAAGGCCAGACTGCCGATAGTGTCCTTTTGTTCCAATTTGAATTTGTTTTGTTTTTATTTCATGCCCCCTCCCACCCCCCATCAGAGCAGGAGTTTGGTGCATGCTAAACCATGTCCTGCTACACTATTTAAAATAATAACAGGCTGTGTCACCTGATCACAACATTCCTGAGCAGACAGTACTTTGAATCACACTGTTGCTGGGAAGCAATGAATAAGCCCCTTTTGTACATATAGGGACCGAAGGCTGCAATCGATTTATAGCAGAAAAGATGGTAATTCTAACTGATATACAATGGCTCCTCGACTCTCACACTACTCACATAGCACTCATGTTACATAATGTATACAATATAATGTACACATTCTATAAAAAAAGTTATTTTATAAAAATGCTACTTACATCAAGGAAAGGAATTCTCCTCACACTATTTAAAAGTCTTTGTGGTGTAAGCAGACACAAGTTTCATAATACATTTTGAAATAAACAAGTGTAAGTTATAAACCCTGTGACTGGTAAAAAGGCATAGGGCTTGTTTGTTGAAATACAGGCAATGCACTGTATATGATAGATAAAAACAATAATGACACTATGCTTTTCACAGAATGTAATGAGCTCTCCTTTCCAGCAAAATGGGTCTAAATCTAAGCATCTTAGTTCTCTAAATGTATGTATAATTTAAGATGAAATCTTTGTAACATACACTATTTATTAGAATGTCTTGTTTGAAAGTGCAATATAACTGTGTAATATTTTGTCTGGAAAATACTGTTTTGGGGGACTTTTTTTATTTTATTACCAAAGCTTTTAGTGTTTTTTGTGTGGGTTTTCATAGAGAGAACTTGAATTACTTGTTTTATTGGCATTTCCATTGGATGTTTTTTAATTTTTAAAAAAAACATTGTTGTTCACTTTGAATCACTGGGCTGCATGAAAAGAGGAATGAATTCCTGATATATTGCCTTCATTAAATAAAAATTTTTTCCTCTTTCCTTCCCCCCCAAAAAAAGTCAGATTACATTCCTTCCAGTGGCTATGTAAATAAGGCAACTGTAATCCCATGTTTCCTTCTTTAGACAACTCAGTTTGTATAAATATATGACAATTATGCATATAAAATCAATACATATATTGGTGTATTTTAGAGAAACATTCCCTAATATAATTGGGGTAAATTTTCTCATTTGTCTAATTGATTCTGTGTTTTGAATGCAGCATTTTGTGATATATTACAAGATGTGTCAACAGTAGAGGAAACAAAGGTGGTCTCTTCTCACTTGTTTTATAATGTGCTCCAGTTCTCAGCCTTGCTTTGAATCCCAAGGTGCATGTATAGACTCTGAGGTCAGGCAAGTAAAACATCATTTCCTCTGAAATAAGTTGTGAATGTACATTTACTTTTAACACATCAATGGCAAAATCTCTTCTACAGCAGTGTTGCTGGATAAAGTCTTGACATTTTCTTTCTAGAAGGCTATTCGTGTAATTTCTTTTGTACCAACACTACACAAGTACAAATAATTTTTGAATTTCCAGTGTATCATTTGTTCCTTTTTGATCCACCTAGACACGCATGTCTAATAAATATAATCCTTGCATTTGATAATAGACACCAAAACAGATAGGAGGATCAGTGTTAAAAAGGGATTTTAAATGCCTCCCACTCTTAGCCTGTATTTGAATTTAAAATCTATTATTGTGGAAAATTCTATACATCATTGATACTGTGGAATGCGGATTTCCACAATTCTTAAACAGCTTCTGAACTAGCTAATTTTTTTTAAAGTTTGCTATTTTGCAATAGGCTAAACTAATTCTAGGCTTTTTTGCTTTAAATATTGTACAAAACCTCAACTTAAGCTCTCACAGCTTAACGTGGATTCATGTACTTCATAGGATAAAATATGACAGACTTGCCATGTGTTTTAGTTCTTGATGTCTAATGGCAAACTGGCTGCAACGCACATTTCCAGCATCTACAATGATAACAAGTTGGGTGGTTCAGACTGATGAGTGTTCAGGAAACTCGCGTTACATTTTGCATCAGAAAATGTATTGCACAGAGTTGCTAAATGGGATCTTTAACATGCACTTAAACAGGATCTTAGTTTACTAACTGGACAGCATCAGCAGTCACCCCATCAAATATTTGCTTTCAAATCTTGACATTTATTAGCAGTTTCAATTAACAGGAACCCATCCAATAAATTGGCACCAGTAACCTTTACAATACAAATTATAGAAATTTCACAGCACTACAAAGACTTGTTTTCAGATTAAAAATATAGCAACAAAAAAAAATCTGCATTCACTCAGAGACCCACCAGCCACATCAGTGCAAAAGCTGTAAGTCCAGTTACTGAGAGTCGCAACGTGAAGCCATGAATGCAAAAGCTAAAGCAAACCGGAAAGATTAAACTTCCCAAACAGTTTGAGTTTGAGACCTACAAATAGGTGCAATAAATTCTGTAGGCACCTACCTGTTCATTAAAGACAATACTGTACAATAAACAATCCAGTGAAAACATTTCAATCACAAAATAGTTTTCAAAGTTATTACTAACACAATGTTAATTTTACAAATGTTCCTGAGACTATGAAAAAAAAATCAGATAGCCATAGGTACTTTTCATCATTGCAGCCTCAATTAAATATAGGTCTCAAGAGATGGTGCAAAATGGACACGTTGAAAGACGTCTTCAGTCACAAGTAACTTCAGACTTTCGGATTCTTTGTTCAGATAAATTTCCAATGTGCCCTTTCCTGAGCTCTCCAATTAGGAGTTTTAATCTGTAAATAAATGTTGAATGGCAGCCCATTTTGAATACTATGTGAGCTCTATTGATACTGTATGTATTTCCAGGATCCTTTCCAATAGATAACACATCATTAAGAAAACCCACAGTACATTTCTTTTGGACTAAATAATTTGTAAACAAACACTATATAAACATGCAAACATTTTAACAATTGAATATAAAAATATGCATTTAATCTTCAGAAATGAACATATCACCTTATACCTTTCCCAATCCGAATATATGGTGCAGGGTTTTCTGCTTGGCATATTCAACCTGCACTGTCTATGTTCCCCATTCTTATAATCTAGTGCGTTATAACAGTATATGCAGCTGTCTGACTGTGAATGTGAACATTTATACCATATTCAGGCCTGGACTGCCAAACAAACCACAAAGTGTTCCATTTCATTCTATGCAAAACTAAGTTCCTTGAACAATGCAAAATAGGAAATGTTACAAAATAACTATAAGTTTTCTATTCAGGATTAGTTACAGGAAAGAGAAACAAAAAAATCAAGGATCAGTTCTGAGGTTTTGCTTGCTTTTAACAAGTCTGTGCTAAATGAAAATTAAATTCTTATTATTCCTTGGTTAGAGCCAAATGTAAAGCTCTGGGGTCCTACAGACTATGCAAAAATACAATGAACTCATTCTAGCATCAATATTAAAAACAATTATCTTTGCATTTTAAACTAGCTCCATTCCATGGTGTCGGAACATCTTAAGTTACATCACAGGATTACTATCTATATCATCACTCTTTCCATTTTTTCACGGTACTCCGTACTGTGCACTCATGGTAAGATACGCTTCTTAGAGAATGGACAAGGGATGTGGAGTTTGAAAGGAAAAAGTGTGGGAAAATGTGCATTCCAATTCGATTACTGTTTGCTATAATGTGTACTGCACAGCCCAGAAAAAATTGTGCATATGTTTCTTTTTGCACATACAGTGACAAGCACACCTTTTACATCAGGTAAATTACTGTAACCTATAATTACAGCTAAATGTGGCAAAAGTGGTATGTTTCCAAATAGAATGATGCAAATTTGTAACATGAAGCTCATTTCAACCTTTTTCATCTCATTGTCCCAAGTCTGCATGTCCGTTACCCAAAATGGGGTTCTCTTCAAAACACAAACCAATCCTTTTACTGCTTTCAGACACTGCCCACTAAGCAAATGGAGTAACCAAACATCTCTCAAAGCCAGGACCCTAACTAAGCCAGGACTGTCTTGTTGGGGTAGTGTGCTCATGTAGAACTTTCAATACTGGAATTTTACTCATGGTTGTAAATTCAGTTCACAGCTGGGAGCTCAAGTCTTTAAAATAGAGTAGGTATTTGAAATATTTAAGTTTCCCTTAGGAAAAGACACATTATTTAGGAATTCTGGAGGTGTTTTTTTGCTCTCTGGAGGTGATTTTGCATTATTACAAAATAATGCAAGGTTCCTTATATAATTTGCTTCTCTTGCTCCTTCGAGAGACAAAGAAAGGATCTCTGAATCTTTCTATAAGGCAAGGAATGCATTGAACGGTCTTCAGGAACCTGCTTGTTTCTGAGCAATGTGGTTATGGAAATGAGCTAGTTTCGTCAAACTTATTTGTTTAAGAAACAGCACCATGCTTTTTCTTTGCACCTTTACTCTTTCTTTCACTTACATGCACTAGTTTTACTGCCCTGCTTCTAGTCCAGGCAATCAGGATTTAAAGTCAGAAAGGCTGGTGCCAGGAGCACTGGACTATGATGACAGTAATAATGTGGAAAAGTTGTCTGTTCTACATGTCAGTGTGGTCCCAGCCACCCACCTTCCAAAGCATACATTTCCTGCATGGCTAAAAGAAATGTTGCATTTAGAGATTTAAATAACCTCAATCCAAATGTTAAATATAGAAGCTTGCTAGGCGAGTTCATGGCACAGTGTGTTAGAGCACCAATTCATGAGAGCACCAAATTGTGGGTTAGAAATAAGAGACCCAGGTTGGGTGGAGTATAGTGTGGAGATTTCCCCACATCACCATCACATTAAATGGTGCTGTGGGGAGGGCTTAAACTGTGAGTAGGCACTTCTCCCCCTCCCCCACCCAGGGGAAAGAGAATACAACATTGTGCGTGATCTAAAGGCTGCCATCACGTAGATATGGCAGGATAGTGGCACTGATAAATCTCTCATTTACCTGTGATTTCAGCCACTTGAAGTGGTTGTCCCGATGAGGTCTACATAAACGTGTTGGATGGAGGGGTGGGTAGAGAGAGAAAGAGGTGGAGGAGAAAGCTCACACACTCAAAACCAAATTCCTCCAATTAACCACTGCTGCCATCAACAAGACTGACATATACCCTCAGAGGACAACAAAGCACAACCACTAATAAAAAATTAGCTTTGCTACTAAGGAAAGAAAGGGAAGATGCATTTTTTTCTGGTGGAAAATGATTTTTTTTTTCAAGCTGCAGTTATTGCCTCATCTGGAGAACCCTCAATTATTGCTTTATCAGGACCTTGGGCATCCGAAACCCAGTCCATTGTGGTATGCAATGGGTTAGGATGGCCATCCTCCCCTTCATACAGAGGACGAAAAAACTTGTGACCCAACCTATCAGTTTTCTCATACTCATAGCCCGGTGGTACTGGGAATGAAGCAGGACACACGACTATTTGCTTTGGTGTGTAACTGAAGCGATATGTGGTGCCGCTATCTAATGGCACGGAGCTAGAGGCAAAAGAATTGTGTGGCTTGAAGCGGTGGGTGAGGCCAATTGGGAGAGGAAGATAATGGGCTTTGAAGGTTGTTGTATCTTCAAATTTGCCAGTTGGCTTTTCCAGTTCTCCCTGTGGTTTGATCATTGGTTCACGAGTGCAGTTCCATGGTTTATAGTCTTCTTTCATGGTGGAGATTCCTTCAAACGGGATGCTGTGCCTGCTGGGGTGGGGCAAAGGACGAGCCGACACAAAAGGCTGGACATTGTGCCCCACAAAGTTTGCCTGACTGGTTGTGGTCAGGTTCATCTTATCTTCAGGAACCATGTAGTCAGCAGATTTATGAAGCGTTGGTGGCTCTACAGTCCAAGCCTTGTATTTGTCACGAAATTCAGTCAGATCGTAAAATGGTTGATTGGAATTAACATTGGTGTTCTCAGGACGAATCAGCTTTGTAAGCTCTCCCGACTGCCCCTTGAAGTCTCTTCTGTGGGTAGTGAGATCATCAAAGGTTTGCTCACTAGGCTTGTACGGTTCCTTTTCATGCCTTTTCCGTGCCTCATAGATGTACGGTATGTAATGCTGACGATAGTTAGTCAGGTCTTCAAAGGGCTTGCTTGATAGCCTGGTTGCATTTGAAGGTTTGAAGCTCTGCTGTGGAACTAGGCCCTTGTACTGATAATCATCCTGGAAAGTGGTTAAGTTACCAAATTTCATTGATGGAGGTCTGAAAGTATACTCTGGTTTAGCAGTCTCGCGTTTAGAAATTTCCCATGGTTTGTAATGATCTGAAACAAAAATAAATTACTTAAAATTGAAAACACAAAGGATGGCTCACTGTAGGAAGACAAGAATAATAGTTATTTATATAAGTAAATTCACATTAACTTGGGAATAGCTAGTGTTATCCATATTTCTGTTTCCCAGTTTGCCCAATGATCAAAAGTTCCTCCCCAGGTCACCCATTAATGCAGAAAAATCATTGAGTTGAGGCAGGTCATCTAAACTAATGAAAAGCAGGCACAATTCCTACTGGCACCTGCATCACCATTTATTATTTTCCAATAATGATAATTTCTAACAATACAGCAAAGTTCTTCCATTATCTCCTTTCCTCAGTACCCTCATTACCCTCCTCTCTTTTAAACAGGGACTCAGGTGAGGTTCAGCTTCCCAGGCACAGCTCATATGTGGAGTCCTGTAGCTCAGTGGTTAGAGCACTCACTTTGCAAGGAGAGACCAGAGTTCAATTCCAGGCAGGGCGAAACCTTGGGCAAGTTTCCTTACTCCACACGCCTAATAATAATCCCTCCAAAACCAAAAACAATAATAAAATTGGTCATTTTCAATCTACGACTGTTTGTGGAACATTGCTGTGCGCAATTGGCTGCTGCGTTCGCCCACAAATTTACAGTCAATTCACTTTACAGTGTGTTCTGTGAAGCGCTTTGGGACGTCCTTCCGATGTGAAAAGCGCTATATCAAATGCAAGGATTATTATTATTATTATGTACCTCAATCCAAGTGGAAGTCTTCTTAATAGAAACCAGTAATAGCAGAAGAGTTGCCTGGGAAGACCATCGCACTCTGATCCACCCAAATTCCAAACAAGTCTTCCAACAGGTCTCAGAAGGGAGTTCTGGATGGCTCTCCTCTTCCAGCCCAGAGAAACTGAAGCTAATGTTATACTCTCCACCTGAGATCAACATCCAACTGAATCGGGAATCTTCCTACTAAATACACTTAGTACCACACACACGCACACACACACACACACACCGGTCACGTACCAATGTTTAAAAGGGTAAATACTGAATCCTGAAGTTGGTTAAACACATCAAAGAGACCATCTTACCTTTGTACGTAGGGATTGTTTCCATCCTTGCTCTAGAGCTCCACTTCTGTTCTTGTGGTCGAGTAGTAGCAGATGGGTAGCTGGAACGATAGTTAAAATCCTGTTTGTACGTAGTATCGAGGTCCATGGTCCCCTGCGGTTGCTTGAACTCTTGAAGGATTCGTCCTGGCCTCGCATGAATATCATGTGGAACATAATCTGCTCTGTGAATGGGATAGTGAAAACAACATACACATTATTGAAATATGAAACATACACTGAGGAAGCACAGGGGCAGATTTTGTCATCGAATATTATAATAATCCTTGCATTTGATATAGTCCCTTATCCTATCTTTGAAATATCTCAAAGTGCTTCACAGAACATACTGTGAAGTCAATTGACTTTATCTTGTGGGCGAAACGCAGCAGCCAATAGCACACAGCAGTCTCTTAGTCGTGGATTATGTGATCACTTTTTTTTGAGAGTTTAACAAAGCAAACCAAAGCTCAAGATGGAAAGTGAAGAGGATTTGGATTCAGTTAATTTGTATGAAGAATGGCAAGTATGGAATGGGTAGGACAGGCCAGAAACTGAGGTAGATGGTGTCTTGGTTTAACTCATCTGAAAAACAGTACCTCCAACCATTGAGTAATCAGTATTCCTTATACTGTCCTGGAACATGCTTCCTGCCTGCACTGTCCCAACATTGGCAAACAAGCTTTCAGCAACTTTACCCTCTAAAACTGCTCATCAAAACTTCAACCTCACTCCCAACCCGTTTAAAAACTTCCCTCTCGACTGCACCTTTGGCCACATCCTCATACTCCATCTCCCATTTTGTCTTTGTAAAGCACTTTGAGACATTCACCTGACGTGATAAGTGCCGATTCTTGTTGTCGGACCAACACCCTAGACTATGAGCTCAAGTCCAGACACGGGGCTTGAACCCATGACCTTCCAAGATGAAAGCGCCACAAACTGAGCCAAAGTCACTATTACATAGGCACTTGAGCAGCTCAGTGGTAAGCCATCAGGGACAATGGTTGTAATTTTCCCCTCTGTAATCCAGAGGATGCTGAAACCCAGTGTAGCAATTTCTTCACCAGCCTGGATGAGTTTAACTAATTCAACACAGACAATAGATCAAGCCCAGGACTTTCCTGTTTTGTATCTGAATGCCACAGGATGAATTTATGCATTAAACCATGGGTGGGGGGTGGGGGGGGGAGGGGGTCATGCAGTAGAAACAGAATGCACAATGAACTACCATAGGATAACTATAATAACTCTTGTGGCAACAAGCAGCTTTGTTGTTCATGAGTTATCAGGTCAGTCTATTTGCAATATACAGTATAAATCATCCCACATGCCGCTGTTTCACTATTTTAGTGTTTTAATGCAAGACACTTAGTCCAGCAACACACCAAGGGGAAAAATCAAGCCTGCAGGCTGGGACAAATTAAACTGCACAGATGAACAAGAAAAGTCAGCTACTTTTCTCACAGGAAGCAATAGATCTTTCAGCCCTTGAGAAAAAAGCTCCTTTCTTTATTTCCTCCTATTCATCAAAAAAGAATTCTGTATGAGTTACACAGATTATTTTTCTAGGAAATATGTAGCAAGCATTTCACTCTATATCCCATGCACTGCAGGGAACTAACCACTTTTTCTTCCCCTATGAAATGCACCACAGGTTAAATGACTTTGAGTTAGTAGGTTAGTAACTTAGGCAATGTATAACAATCAGCTTTCGACATTACTAATTTAAACAGTAAAAGACAATGAGGAAGGCGAGTGAAGCAAATGTAGAATTCATATTGGTCATAATTTATGCTCCACGTTTAAAACAATTTTACTGGCAAAAGAACAAATCTAAAATGTATTGCATAACATGAATTTATAGTACTAATAGTGGAATCCTATAGTTTAGTGGTTAGAGCATTCGCCTCTCAAGCGAGAGGACCCGGGTTTGATTCTCGGCAGGGCGAAACGTTGGGCAAGTTTCCTTACTCCACACTCCTGTTTACCTAGCAGTAAGCAGGAACTCGCTTGTTAGCCAATTGACAGATCGCGTTCTTGGGATAATAATCCTCAAAAAAATTTGGTCACTCTTTATGGGACACTGCTGTGTGCAATCAGCTGCTGCGTTTCGCCCACAAATACAGTCAACTCACTTTACAGTATATTATGTGAAGCGCTTTGAGATGTCTAGAAGATGTGATAAGGCACTAAACGAAATGCAAGGATTATTATAATACTTATAATGATAATAATCCTTGCATTTGGTATAGAGCATTTCACGCAAGGAGGATGTCTTAAACGGCTTCCCGGGATTTAGTTTGAAGCGGCCTGACTGAATTCTATAGTCAAACATGGCAGCCCAATTACACACAGCAATAGCCATGAAACAAATAACCAATTTTATTTTGGGGATTGTTGGGCAGGACACTAGGAGAAACTTCCTTCTTTTTGACTAGTGCTATGGAATCTTTAACATGCACCTGAACAGGCAGTTGGGACCTCAGTTTAATATCGCCGCCGAATAAAATCACCTCCAATAATGGAGCACATTACAAGCACTGCATTGGAACGTGAGCTTGGATTATACGGGTTCAAGTCCCGACGAGGAGCTTGAACCCAAAATCCTCTGATTCAGCCAGGCCGAAAAACAATATTCCACCTGATGTCATTGACATCACTATCATTCATGCAACAAACAATGAATAGCCTAGCTTTTTCATAACACATAAAAAACAGACATGGTTTTATTGATAAAACTGTTTGTTTATGAATTATAGTATCAGTATTACAGTACTACTCTAACACCCGCCTCGCTGGTCTCCCCTCCTCCACTATTCACAAAATTCAGCTCATTCAAAACTCCACTGCCTGCATTCTTACCCGCACCAAACTTTGTACCCCGATTACTCCAGTCTTTGCCAAACTCCACTGGCTCCGTCACAAAGCAGATCGACTTCAAGATCCTCACCCTAGTGTTTAAATCCCTCCATTCTTGGCACCCCCCATCTCTCTAACCTCCTCTCTCCCCACAGCAGTACCCGCTGCCTCCGCTCTACTGAATCCGGCCTCCTCCGTATCCCCCGAATCCTCCACTCCACCATCGGTGGACGTGCCTTCAGCCACTACACCCCAAAACTTTGGAATTCCCTCCTTCAACCTCTTTGCCTCGCCCCCTCCTTCCCCATCTTCAGGTTGCGCCTGAAGACCTTCCTCTTCGACCGTGCCTATGGACACCTTCCCACTCCCCTGACTTGCCTTCGGGCTCCACCATTGTTAAGCGCTCCAAGAAGCCGCCCATTGTGGAGGGCAATATATAAATGCAAGTTGTTGTTATCAACTTTCACCTTAATGCGCCTCCTGACATATGGGTCTGTTCTGTTAAGTGCCTGAGAATGGTGTGAATGAGTGAAGTCCAGAAGTTACCTGAATGTAGTCAAGCTCTGCATGTTCCCTTGATGTCTCTGATATTCCTCCCTTGGTCTGTAGGATTCTCTGGGCTTGAAGTTTTCATATGGTACGTATTTATCCAAGTACTCAGTAATGAAGCATCGTTTATTAGTATTTTCATAGATCGCAGTGGGAAGATGTGGACAGCGATGACGCCTGTGAAGCAAAATATTCCAATATCAGATTAAATCCCCCACCAATAGATGTACACAACTCAGTGGAAGCCTTTCTCCATTGGAATTTGGGATGGAAATCGGTCCATCAAAGTGCTGTGAGAATCTATCCTGCATGGAGGGTGCTATATAAGTGCAAGGTGTTGTTGGTCCACCTTTATTCAATGATCAGCAACCACTGTTACCATTACTCTTACTATACAATGTAGACACTGGAAACAAAAACATACAACTTAGAAGAATGACAAACTTCTCAAATCACTTTGCAGATTTGAGTCAAGCAAAGCAACTGTTTTTTGTAAGCAAACATGGAAGCCATTTGCACAAGCAAGGGATCGCAAACAGGCCCAAGTTGAGTGACCAATTAATCTGGAAAATCATTGTCCAGAAGGAACATCTTTCTCTTTCTAAATAATGTCATGGGATTTCATCACCTGCCTAAATCGCCAAACATGGCCTCAGATTAACATCTCATTTGAAAGCATGCACCTTCGACAATGCATCAGTCCCCTTGTACTGTACTGGAGTGCCAGCCAAGACTGAGCTCAAGTCCTGTTGCGGGATTGAAAAAAATGCATTTTACATTTTAGATATAATTTAGACTGCATTTCCCTGAATTATCACAGCTTCAGACCACTTGAAATAACAAGAATATTTCCCAACGCCAAAAACTATTCTGAGTATTTATTTCTGTTTATTCGATGCAGATGAGCTCATCAATTGCTGAGATGGCATAAGAAATATCCTTTTGTTTTTAAAGTTGAGAAATCTAGGTGAAGCACAAGGCCCATAAGCAGGGCACCAACAGTTTGAAGAGAGCAGGGGAGGGAGAGGAAAAGATAAATGAACCAGAAGTTAGTCTGACCAAGGCTGTAGACTGCAGGATAAGTGATTGACTTGAAGAGGCAGGAAGTTGGCAACCTATTGTGATGTGCTGGAAAGAATAAATTATAGTAAAAGATGGTGCAACAAGTTCTCATTTCAGCATAGAGAGCAGGAGGAGAGATCATATTGGAAAGCACATCAGAAGGAACAAAAGGGGAAAGGTCAGAAAAGCAACAATTATTGTAATCTTGATAAAACAGAGAAAGACCAGGAAGGTTGTGGAGCTAGAAAAGAATTGAAGTTCAGAAATGAGATGGATTACCCATCAGACAAGCCTTTTCTTGAATACTGTCCAGAGGTCTAAGGGTACGTTACCAGACTATTTTGGCATCAGACAAAATCTTTGTGATGAGCTGCCAGGATTATTTCCACTGCAAACTACAGGCAGGTTAGAAAAATAACTTAAACAGATCTTGATCCCTGGGACTATTCCCAACTGCCCAGTTCTATTAGATAAACATACAGTTAGATTGTACACATTGTGCCAAAGGCTATTGCAGAAATCTAAAAATGAAGGGAGCAAACACTTTTTAAAAACTTAAAGAATGGAAGCATAGCTGCCCACAATCCTCAATTGCAATATCCGTCAAGTTCACACTGCTGTGTAAAGGACTTTCTAGTTTCTTGGCTCAGCTGCTTCAAACTGCATGAGAGAATTGGGAGGAGTTCCGTGGTTGGAAGCACCGTCCTTCAGATGAAGCCGTTAAACCAAGGTCCTGCCTACTTTTTCAGGTGGATGTTAAAGATCCAATGGCACTTTCCAAAAAAAAAAATGGATGGGCTGCTATGTTCATCTACAAATACTCAGCCATTCCACTTATTAATGGCAAACTATGTCGTTTTCATCAGGCTAGACTCCACCAGTACCCTAATGCACACTCTGGGGTCCCTAAGCTCTTGCCAACCTGCACTTAATACTTCCTGGAATTAAGCAAACAGGGTGAATCCCACCAGGGAGAGAGTGCACATTCCATTCCAACAATCTATCTCTGAGATTTCCATGTGTAGGTGTGATGCATGGAAATCTTGGTTTGGATACTCTTAAGTTTGTTGATGGGAGACGACATGTGTCAGACACCCAGCTGACTAAAAAAAATTCACAGTAAATCCTGTGAAATATTGTGGGACATCTACCTCGTGTGAAAGGCACTGTGTAAAGGCAACAATTATTTATTTTTATTAACACTTCTAAAAGAAAGATAAGTGGATACAAGTGTGTAGCTATTCTACTATTTTCAAATATACATAATTCAGTAAAGTACGTTTTTTNAAAATAGATGGTAAACCTGGTGATTTAACAAATGAGTGGATTATTCTCTTAGAAACAGATAATCCTTTACAATGTGATTACAGAATCAGAACTAGGTCACTTGGCCCATCATGTCCACAGTGGCATTAGTCTCCACATGCAACATCTAATCTCCTGCTCGCTTCTCATCCCCACAAGTATTCCTCTTTTCCAATCATTTATTTAATTCTGTTTTAAAAGGAATTTGTGGACTGCACCTTGTCTGTTCCAATAATATATACTGTGATCTAAAGTCAGCCAGCATTACATGAGCTTCAGTACCACAAGCTGAGAAGAAAATCTGTGAGCTCCCACTTACAATGGCTACTCAATAACCTCCTGTCGTAACAGGAGGGTGGGAATCTGGGGCAGGTATGGGATTGGGTTTGGTTGCTGCTTCCAAAGCTCATGGTCTAGGCACAGACAAAGAACACAACACTTCAGTGAGGCACCAGAGGAGGGGGTGGGGGAGAGAGAGGAAAAGAATACTTAAAAGTACTATTACATAGAAGCAGAGCATGGCTGTTCAATTTCCTCCAGCAAAAATAACAGCAATATACAGTACCTGTATCAATCCGATGCCAGTGGGGTGCTGCAATAAGTTGGTTATAAATGAACCAAGATTCAGTAATTTTTTTTGTGCTCATCACCAAAGCTAAGCCCAAAAAAGCAATAGGCCCTTCAATGCATTTACTCTAATTTGCCCAGAGTGCACATTAGGTTAGCATAAGGGACCCTGAAGTGAAATTAAAAGGCTGGTATCTAATTAGGTGCTCTGATAATGTTCAATATTCCCATCTCAGCACCTGAATTGGATTGAAGTCCACAATTACAAATTAAGGGGCTGATCTGAACAGTCTACAACAATGTGCATGTTAGAGGCACTCACATCAGAAATAATGTGTGTATTATATATATATATATATATATATATAAAAACTTGAAGATGTGATCAGGCACTATATCAAATGCAAGGATTATTATATGTTCTGTAATATTTTTGAAATATTCATATTCACAGAAAAAAATATTCTTCAAATGATTGTATGAGCAGAGATCCAAGAGGAAAAAAAACATTACAGCTCCCTATTCTTCCAACAACATATACAGTGTCATTGGGAAGGAGGGAGCAACAAAAGAGTTATACACTTATAATATTATTAAAAGAATTAACAAATGTTTTTTACACCAACGATAACTAGAGGACACTACCCAACGTTTCAATGCAACTTAGTTTCCACTGTAAAACATTTCCACTGCAAAATGTTGATACCTTAATCCTGGAATCATAACAGGATTCCTGGAGAACATTATGTTTTAATTACAGCAAAAAAAATACTGCCATCAAGTCTAAAAATAAGTGGGCCAGGACTGCAGACACACAAACAATCAGAGAGGAGCGGGAGAGGTTTCAAAAATCCAGTCACGCTTCATTGTGAGGCCAGATGTTTATCTTGGCATTTGCAATGATTGTGATAGACATTTCAGACATTAAACATCTCAAGAGTAAGAACATAAGATTATTTATTAATCAAGTTATTACCCAAAGAGTAAAACCTGCTGTTCTCACCACCACTGCCAATAAGCACCCAAGCGGACTTAGGAGTCCTGTAGCTCAGTGGTTAGAGCACTCGCTTTGCAAGTGAGAGACCTGAGTTCAATTCCAGGCAGGGCGAAACCTTGGGCAAGTTTCCTTACTCCACACGCCTAATAATAATCCCTCCAAAACCAAAAACAATAATTAAATTGGTCATTTTCAATCTACGACTGTTTGTGGGACATTGCTGTGCGCAATTGGCTGCCGCGTTCGCCCACAAATATACAGTCAATTCACTTTACAGTGTGTTCTGTGAAGCGCTTTGGGACGTCCTCCTGACGTGAAAAGCGCTATATCAAATGCAAGGATTATTATTATTATTATTATTATAAGAGTGGTCCATTATGTACATCTTAGTATTTACTGGTTTATCTACTAGAGTAAATTTTGCAGTTTCCCTCAGTGACCTGGAAACATAAATTACCTGGACTTGGGTATAGAGAACATCATTTCCAAGTTTGCAGACGACACTAAGCTAGGAAAAGTAGTAAACAGTGAGGAGGATAGTAGCAGACTGCAAGAGGACATACAGACTGGTAGAAAGGAGAAGACACGTGGCAGATGAAGTTTAATGTGGATAAATGAGAAGTGATGCATTTTGAGGAAAAATGAAGAGAGGCAATATAAGCTGATTGTATAATCTTAAAGTGGTTGAAGGAACAGAGAGACCTGGGGGTTCATATAAGTAAATCTTTGAAGGTGGCAGGACAGGGAGATAAAGCTGTTAAAAAAAAGTACGGGATACTAGGCTTTATAAATAGGGGCATAGAATACAAAAGTCAGGAAGTTATGATGAACCTTTATAAAACACTGGTTAGGCCTCAGCTAGAGACTGTGTCCAGTTCTGGGCACCACACTTAGGAAGGATGTCAAGGCATTGGAGAGGGTACAAAGGAGATTTACCAGGAATGAGGGACTTCAGTTATCAAGAGAGGCTGGAAAAACTGGGATTATTCTCCTTCGAGCAGAGAAGGTTAAGAGGAGACTTAGTAGAAGTTTTGAAAATTATGAGGGGACTCGACCGGGTGAACAAGGAGAAATTATTTCCACTAGCAAGTGGGTCGGTAACCCGAGGACACCGATTTAAAATAGTTGTTAAAAGGGGGGAGGTGAGAAGAATATTTTCACACAGTGAATTATTCGGATCTGGAATGCTTTGCCTGAAAGGGTGGTGGAAACCGATTCGATAACAAATTTTAAGAGGGAAGTAGAT